GAGGAGGTCAAAGAAATATAGGAATTTTGATACAAATGTTATACACGGAGGGTTTTGAATAAATATTAATGCAATCTCTTGGACATATCTAGGTTTGTATAACGATGTCTAGTTGATGTAAGTTGGGACTTTTTATACTTAACTGTTGCAATGTAACTTGACAGCGGTAGAATCGCATTTTGTCAAGTTCGAAATGTAACCTAAAAAAATATAGTTCCTATTTAGACTCATGATATCTTCTGATTCTGTTGGAATTTCAATGAAATTCCTACACAATCTTTATGAGGATTTTATAAAAAAAACAATTTGGGGGTCAGGTGACAGGGCCACTTTTTCCATATAGATGCCTAGCTATCTCCTGTAAAACAAAACAAAACAGTAAAATACCGCTTACCTTTTTATCCAGCGACAAGTCCCTCTTGCTACTGCTCTGCCCCAGGGAGACTATCAGTGGAGACAATCTTCACTTCCTGCTCGGACACAATTGGTGCATACCATGCTATTGCCACAAATATACCAATCAAATGCAGTGACTGCCCAATGGAACGCTTCTCATTGACGTCCTCACTTCTGCCAAAATGATCTATCGTGTAGAGTAACCAGGAAGCCCTCCTGACTGTCAGTTCCCAAATTGTTCCAAGTTAATTCATTTAAATGCAGGTTTATTTTGAAATCATCAAAGTTATGAATGGGGACTAAGGAAACATTGGTATACGTATGTGCCAAGAGCCCATGTCAGTGCTGTACTTTTGCACATGGGTGAGAATACAACACTGATGTACAAGGAGGATCCCACAACACTGGAAACTAATTCCTTATTCAGATAAGCAAGATAATGCCTTATTCCGATAAGTGAGATAATGCCTTATTCCGATAAGCGAGATAATGCCTTATTCCGATAAGTGAGATAATGCCTTATTCCGATAAGCTTACCTTAGTTGGGAGTCTGTATTGTAGATATGTATTACAATTAAACACAGGCCAAGGTGGTCAGGTAAGAA